ATATTTGAGTGATTTAAGTACAGCTAGCATAGTGTTAACATATTGTCGTAGTTGAGTGCATAGCTAAAGAGAGAACACTGTAAGGGCGCATCCGGACACAATTGCGCTTGTGTGACTGAGCACCGAGTGTAACACCTTGATGGCGCTCGGACCCAAGGTTTGCACCTCTGCATATGACTTGTGAGTACATGTGAGTGCGAGACGCAGAAAATCGCGCGTTCTGTGCGCCTGCGCAATGGAAGCCTCACGTCCCTGATACTCGACGAAAAACCATCGAAAAACCACTCGATCATCGGTATCGTTATAGTTGTATACATATAACTATAAATATATTCGTCTATGATAAATATTAATAAATATATGAACAAATATATTTTATGCGATTTTTATTTAATATATACGTATTTAATTAAATACATACAACTCCCCCTTCACAGAGTTATCTATATTTCATATAATGCCCAATATTGGGTGTAAAAATTAATACCTATAATGATAAGAACGAAATTTTTGTAAGTTCTATGTTGTCGAGATCTGCTCAGATCCGAAAAGATCTGTTCAGATCTGAAAAGATATGACGCATAATGTCTGCTCAAATCTTTTAGGAGATCTGATGTCAGATTAGATCCGAAGAGATCTGATTCGATCAGCAACCCAACTTTGCAAACTAAGAATGATCAGATTTGATGAGATCAACATATGTCTGGTTGGGTCTGACCAAACCTGGTGAGATCTGATGCGTATCTCATGAGATCGGAAGAGATCCGACTGGACCTGCGATTCAATATCGAACAGCAGTAACGGTCAGATCTTGTGAAATCGGACTAAAGTTTAGCATGTCTGGCTGGATCTGATCAGATCTGGTCATGCAGATCTGGCGAGATAAAATTTTATCCAATCAGATCTGACTCTACTATAATTACAGATCTCGTTGTACCTCATTTTATCAAATCAGACATGGTCAGATCTCCTCCATTTTTTCCCGGACGGCTAAGAAAAATAATTCTGCTACTTGAATGAAAAACTACTCTGTATGAAGACACCACCTCAAATGACTATTGAAATGTAAGCCTTATAATTTAGACACTATTGTTAAGCTTCTGTTGCATTAAGTGTATAATTCAAATTTATTTATTCAATTCTATGATTTGAGGATGTACGTAAAATTTGCCCGGATGCCGCCTTGTGACCTTTCCTTCATTAATTTTCCTATGTAACGGAACAGTGTGTCGCAATATGCTAATTTGATCAAAACATGTAAGCGTTCAGATCAGCGCGCTGTTCTAGTGGAAAAATAAAAGCGTAAATGTCATCATTAATACTGTTTATTGTATAAAATTACCACATGCCTCAATGGTCGAATTGGTGAGACGCCCGCCTAGGGTGTAGGGAAGTCCAGGTTCAAACTCTGGCAGAGGTAGTATTTTTCGTAATAAATTTCTTTAACCATCCAAGTCCTCTGTAACAAGAATAATATAATTAATAATAATAATCAATAATAATGTTAGTTTTATAAAAATTTTATATAATTGTAACGATAGGTCAACTCTTCCCGGTTCTGGATTCCGGACAGGACTCCGGCGGATACTATTTATGTCGCGAGTAATTACGGTAATTAGTCAGACGCGCGGTTCCGACTAACGCAACGGTTGGAAGAGTTGGCGTTCTCGCGGTCGGTGTTGACGTGCTGTGTGCCGGCTAAAAGAATCCTCCGTTCCTCCTGTTTGCCGAATATGCTCAGCTCCAGGGCCGTCGGGAGGAAGGGAGGAAAAGATCTTAATTCGCTCAGTGAGGTAATCGCTTGGAAGGATCGGAAATAAATCGGACAGATGTTTTTTAAGGTTAAAAACCGATAGGAACGAGGTTTATTCATGGATAAATACAATGGAATCGAGGTAATTACAATGGGTCCGCCCTGTGATTAAATACAATGGAAAGAAGAGGATTAGTAGGTACAATGGGTCCGCCCTGTGATTAAATACAGAGAAAAAACAGGATATGATTTGACAGATTATCACGATGTACAGGAAGTACGTACCGAATCGGTAAACAGGAATATAATATAGGATTACACTGATTTAATCATGTACGGAAAGTACGCACTGGATCGGAATACGGAGTACGAAATAATAAGGCCGGTCGGATTAATCGGAAGTAAACAAAAACACCGCTGGATTAAAAGAATACAGGAAAGTAATAAAAGAATAATCTAAATCGGATGTGTGGCACGGAAAATACGCAACCGGATCGGAATATAATTATGGTGGCTATCACTATAACTGGTATCGCTGGAACGATCGGAGAGGATGTTATTTACAGGATCCCCCAGTATTCTGTAAGGGAGAAAAGTGACGGGATTAACGCTACGGAGCTTAATACTAAATTAATCAGGAATCTCTTTTCCCACCCGAATATTCCCCCCTGAGTTCTACACCGGTCAGGAATCAGGAAAAAGGATCAGGTCCGGACAGGAACACGCCCGAGCAGCGCCTCGTTATGCGTGAATTTCAGTAGTGATTGTACACCGGGAAGCACCCCGTTAGGTGTACGCTACTGCGGAATTACTCCTTCCTCGCGAACCGCGGCGGTACCCGCTGTCACGGGGGGAAACGGAGTCAGGACGGATACAGGAGACCGGTACGGGAAGATTGTAGCATGTGTACGCCGAGGAGCACCCCGCTAGGCGTACGCTACTGCGGGACGGGGCCCACGACGGAGTAGCGCCTCCGTTGTGTGCTCCGGTACGGTATATAGCCGAAGACAGGAGCACCCGTTTACTCCGGCTTATACCCGCAGTGGAGGTACCCACTACCCGGTGTTGTCGCTCGGAGCTCCGAGGCAAAACTGAGTTAAAGCGCCTGCTCCGGAGGGGCTTTTATACCCCCCGGATGTAGGCGCGCGGGGAGAGGCGGCGGGGGCAGGCGCGGCGTTGCCGGCTGCCGCCGACGCGGCAACCGCGCGCTATCGATTTTCCTCGCGCAGCTGGTAGTGCCGTCTCTTTCTACCGGCCGCGCCTCCCCTGTCGCCTCCGTTACATAATTAATAATTTTCTATATGTATATTCTTTCCCATAATACTATGTAATATAAGATAATTTACTTAAACTTATTTTTTAAAAATATTTTATTTTATATGTGTCAACAAATGAACAAGGATAAAAGTCCAATAACACACGAGCAATAGAAGGTGAAAATAAAAAATAATTCAATTATTTAGATATAATTTTTGGCGAGCGTTTCGGCATCACAGTGCCTTCATCAGCGCCTGGTTTAGTTACATCAATATAAAATAATATTAAAAATGTATAGTATAATTATACAGTATATACAGGGTGAGTCAGTATAACCTTTTACCATTGAAATTACAAGTTCGGAATAAAATTCTAAGATGAATTTTCCTCTTGTAAAACTTTGGTAAAAGCTTATTTTTCTAGATAGAAATAAAAATTGTTACCCTATCACACGTCGAATACAGGAGGCAGGCAGGGGCGGCGCAACTCACAGTCCGGCGCGGGCTCTTTCGTGGCCGTTGCACGTTGCGATCAGCTTCTCTCCGGTTCACTCACTCACTCACTCACTCACTCACTTACACTTGAAACACACACGTTTATCACTATTATTAATCGCTATCGATTAATCATTCGGCGACTAATAATCCTTGAAAGACAACCAAACACGTGTTTCTTCCAAGGATTGTCAGTCGCGACACAACAAGCTCTCACTTCACGACAAGAAACTAACCACATTTAATTTGTATGTACGCACAGGCGATTC